TACTAAGGTATTGTTCTAATAATCTTAATGCATAAGTATCCTACATCGCCGACTCAGCACAAGTGTAGTTTTAAGGCCGGCTACAGAGCAGCTCAGGTTGCTTATTTCAACAGCCCTGATAGGACTTATCAACCGAGTCTGGCCCGAAGGCCAGAGCCCAGAGGTGTGGCGGACCGACAACCCTTGGACTATGTCCGGTGCAATCTCTACATTAGACTCCGGTGCTAAGAGACCGCACCTACGTTACCTACTAGACCGCGGCTCGTCTCCGCTGTCTGCACATGGTTTTACAAGTAGGGGTGAGCTGGCATTATTTCACGGCCTCAGCCCTCGCGATATCGTAGCCAAAAATAACGCTGACTTGAAGCCACGATGCATTAGGATTATTAAGAGCAACTGTCCAGGTGGACAGTGTCCGTCCACCTGTACCGATATCCACCTTCTTCCCTCAGTCTATCGCCAATGCCTCGCACCAGCAAGTCAGCTCGCCAGGAGGGCGGCGGCAGCGGCGCCGCCGCCCCGTCCCCGCCATCAGCCCGCGGCGTGAGCCTGGTGGCCATCGCGCTGCTACTGCTCGCCATGGTGACCGCCTACATGTACCCGCTGCTGACGGCTGAGCCGGCCGTACCGGAGCTACCAGACAAATGGTGGTCGGCCGGCGAGCCGCCCGCCCGGCCCGACACCAGCGTGCAGCGGTACAAGATCTGGGCGCCGGCCGGCACCATGGATGACATCAGGGTCAGTGCTAGTGATGTCAATTACAGAAAATCGCAGGCATCGGTAAAATCCTTTTTAAAAGGATCGCATTCCCAATCCACATTCCTAGTGCCGAAGTGGATTGCATTCCTACCCGCAATCCCCTTTTTTCACTTGGATTGTGATCAAATCCGCAATCCTTTTTTGCAATCCTGTTGTATTATTATGTGCACTAGTGGATTTGGGGGAGGGAGGGGGGCATAGGGCCGTGCCTCCATCCCCAAATCATCCATTTCTAGTACCTAGTCTTGCGAGTAATTTCTATCTAAGGCACAAGTATTTTATGGGAAATATTTTTTGCCTCAAACACCCCAACATTTAAAGCTCTACCCAACCAGTGTTTTATATTTTTAAAACTCGCCCTCAAATACGTAATTTTGCCCTTTCTATGTAGTTCATCAGCGTATATTATTTTAAGCGTTTAAATTAAAAGCGTTTAAATTATTTCAAGTTTCGATGTAAAGCCATTGATGGCAAAGTACGTTAAGCCGATGAAGCCGATTTCATAATTTTCCATCGCAACAAACCATTTTAGAGCACTAATCAAACACAATCCGGATTGGATTGCAAAAGGTAGAAGTATGATGCAATCCAATCCGCAATCAAATCCTGTTTTTTGGAATGGATTTCAAATCCAGGTGCAATCCACCAAAAGGGAATGCAATCAGGATTTTGCAATCCTGCAATCACAATCCTACCGATGCCTGGAAAATCGGAATACCGATACCAAACCAAATACCAACCAAAACCGTGGGGAAATACCGAAACCGAACCAACTTTGAAAGATGAGGCAAATACCAACTTTTTACCAATTTCTTAGCCTGTTATACGTTAGTAAGGGTTCATAATACCAACAAAATACCAAACACATTAGGATTGAAATACCAAATACCAAGTTGGTATCGGTTTGGTATCGGTATACCAAAAAGTTAGTATCCGATTGACATCTCTAGTCAGTGCCGAGGAGAGGGGAGGACAGAGGGGTTAGTGGGAAGACAGGGGAGGACAGAACCTCTGTCACAGATGAGTCAGGAGGAGGATAGGACGAGGGGGAGATTGGGCGGTGGGAGGGCAGGGAATAAGGCAAGGCCGATACTAAGCGCCAAGCATCTTAGATGAGATGACCAAGTGAGGGTCACACGGTTTATAAAGAGTTTACATAGATAAACAAACTCAGAGAGTATCAGATAGTATGCTTGGATGCATGCAAATGCAGTATTTCGCTTGGAGCACATTGTCTTGTAAAATCGCTCATGATGTTTTTAATAGGGAATACATTGCCGTGACACAACATACCCCGCCCCCGTTGTTCGACAGTCTCGTCTGGCTCGCGCCGAGAGCCGGCTGACGCCGCCACTGGAGGGATCCAACTTCACCTACGGCTTCAACTCGGAGCAGCTGAAGAAGGTGCTGGACCACTGGAGCACGAAGTACGACTGGCAGAAGCGGCTCCGCGCGCTCAACGAGCTGCCCCACTTCCGGACCAACATCGACGGCCTGGACATCCACTTTGTACACGTGCGGCCCGAGGTAGGCGGCGGACGGCGGGGCGGGAGGCGGCAGAGGGGTGGCGGGCGGCAGAGGGCGGATAAGACGGGAGGCGGCAGAGGGCCGCGCTCCGCTCCATCGCTTCCATCCTCAGGATACAGAAATCCTTCTCCTCCACGCCGCAACCCCCACTCCGGGCTGGACAGGCACCTTAATCTCATGCGGGCTGCTCCCTTGGAGCGGCACCGCTGCTCCCGAGGGAGCGCACCCCGTAGCCGGGTGCAGAGAGTGCTTGGGGGGCTGGTCGGCCTGTCCTTTCGGACGGGCTCAGCCCCGGTGACTCTCTAGGGTGTCTGCCCAGACCAATGTCTCCCCTTAATTCCTATCATCCTTCCGGCCCTGAAAAGGTCTCGTCAGACCGAAAGGGCCTAACCCAACAAAACAAACAAAAACAAACAAAGAGGGCCGCTCAGTGGTTGGCTTAGCTGGTTCACAGTGAGAGCCAGAGTCGCCAGAGTCGCTCTGAAAGTGTGCCATAACGGTGCCTGCACACCACAGATAGAATCACTTGCCAGTGTCAAAATATCGCACCCATCGTCCAGATAAGAATACGTTCTACCCGACCGCCAGTACCAGGTGGCACGTCCACTGTGAGTGCTTATTGTACTCCCCTGTCCCCAGCTGGTACCGTCCGACCAGTACCAGGCAGTGCCACTGCTGTCATTGTACTCATGTTCTCCCCTGTCCTCAGGTACCGTCCGACCAGCACCAGGTGGTGCCTCTGCTCCTGCTGCACGGCTGGCCCGGCTCGTTTGTCGAGTTTCGGCGCGCGCTGCAGCTTCTGAGCCGGCCCCGGCCCGGACACCGGGTGGTGTTTGAGCTCATTTGCCCCTCACTGCCCGGCTATGGGTTCTCCTCCGCTGCGGCCAAGCCGGGGCTCGGCACCCCAGAAGTGGCCGCCATCATGAGGAAGCTGATGCTGCGGCTCGGCTTCGAGAAGTTCTTCGTGCAGGGCGGCGACTGGGGCTCAATGATCACCAACCTGATGGGCACTATGTATCCAGACAACGTCCGAGGTGGGTGAAACCGCGGCGCGGGGAGGGCTAAATGAGACTATAACACGGCTGAACAGACGAGTAGACCGGGACAGAGTTATATTACGACTACCTAGGGCGGGTGGGTAAGGTGAACTCGCAACAGAGAATCGTCAGATCAGCTTAAGAATTGAAGAACGCTTCAGATCATGATTTGTGTTTTGGAGAGTCCCAAAATCAAAAGTGGAGAAAGCTCCCACCACCATCCAGGATTGTTCAGGCAGCCCCCTGCGGACACCAGCTACCCCTGTATAAACCCCGTGTAATAATACTCGACCGTACCGTCCCCAGGTGCGCACATGAACATGGTGACTCCGGGCTCCACCTCGCCGCGGATGTGGCTTCTGCTCGCCGTCGGCAAACTCTTCCCCAGCGTCCTCGGATCCGAGTTCTTCCAGAAGCGCTACTACCCAGTGGGCGCGTTTGCGTCGCAGCTGGCCCGCGAGACCGGCTACGCGCACCTGCAGGCCACCAAGCCGGACACGGTGGGTGTGGCGCTGGGCGACTCACCGGCCGGCCTGGCCGCCTACATCCTGGAGAAGTTCTCCAGCTGGACGGATATGGAGAACGTGGCGCGGCCCGACGGCGGTCTGCCGGGTCCGTACGACATAGACGACCTGCTCGACAACGTGATGATCTACTGGGTCAGCAACTCGATCACGAGCTCGATGCGTCTGTACGCCGAGTCGATGGGCCGGCGCGTGGCCGAGATGCGGCTGCACGACATCCCGTGCCGGGTGCCCGTCGGCCTGCTGTTCGCGGACAAGGAGCCGTACCTGTTCTCGCCGAACATGCTCGGTAACAAGTTCCCGGATATTGTGTCGGCGCGGGAGCTGCCCGAGGGAGGCCATTTCCTGGCCATGGAGAAGCCGCAGCTGCTCGTGGAGCACGTGTTTGTGACGGTGACGGCCATCTTGCAGCGGGAGGAGCGCGACAGGGAACAGCAGAAACAGAAAGAACAGCAGCAGCAACAGAAACAGCAGGAGCAGCAGAAGCAGAAGCAGCAGCAAAAACAAGCGTGAGGAGGGGAGAACGCGGGAAGAAGGAAAGGAAAAGTGAAGAAAGGACAGAAAGGAAAAATACGTAAGAAACGTCAGCAACAATGGCGGTGGAACACGAAACTAGAAACGAAGTGAGACGCTGCCGGACGGTAAGGATCGAGAAGCACCGCAGATACACTCACGGGAGTGAACCGCACGAGGCCAGTAAATCCAGAGGCGGCGGGACCAGTAAAAGGAACTGTGGAGGACGAAGGCAGGGCAACGGATCGTGGGGGACAGAGGGTGGATGGTGGAGACGCATGGCGCAATTCTTGGGTCTTTGAGATGATGTGCCTCGCCTTCACGGAGCCTCGAACCTCCTAGTGTGGATGCTTTGTGCCCTAAAGAGACCATATTCGTCATAACCGCTAACTAGTCATATTCGCAATGGTCTTTGGCGTTGGCGTTGGCGTCCTACAATGCAATTATTGGTGTTGCTTTGTATCACATCATGACACTTGCCCATCCCTAATTGATATTGCTTGATTTGTGGGGTGGCAAATATACTCAAATATGGACTATACATGAATGGAGAATGATTTATGGAGGGCTAGATAGATAACTTTAGTGGTAATATCGTACCTATTTGTTGAAGCAAAATTTCGGCAGCGTAAACATTTGCATCGCATGACATGGTTTAATTGTCGATCATCACATATATCACAAACAATAAACACTCTCACCTAATGTACAAACTCATGCATTCTTAGTCCTACCAGATGCTTGGTGGCGGAGGGGTGAACCCGACTGGAGGCCTCTCTCGCATACAAGTGGCATCTGTTCATGCCAACCTCAGCCAGGCCGGATGTGGCAACTCTTGGAGCAACAGCCGGAGGAGATGAATCCACCGGGACCGAGGGTCTCACGCACAGCCACACCAGCATCTACAGACCTCCTACGGTCCAGCTCATGGACCTCAGAGCAGCACCCACTCCAGCCCACCTCCCCGACCAGGCGTCCCCACCTGCGCGACCCTCCGCCCGCACCTGGCGCCGGCGCTCAGTCCACCATGTCCTTCAGGCCCGGCCGCAGCGCCGGCCGCTCGGGCCGCCGGCCCCGGTTGAAGGAGGCGCCCAGTTCGTTGGGCCGCCGATTCTGGCCCATGTTTCGCCGGTACGTGATCTCCTTGGTGAGAACCTCCTGTAGCGACTGAGAGCGGACGGGGGGGGGGGGGATCAGGGTTAGAGTGGTGAAAAATCGAGAGCGAGACAGCACGGCTGACGACCATTACAGCTAGCAGCGAGAGACCACATCACGTGACGAAGCCAGAATGCGATTTTGTAGGTACTGATGATTGACTTTCGCTTTCCCTAATAAGAAATACTAGCTACCTGGTTAGCAAGTGACGTTCATGAGGGAACGGCTCTTTTCGCTTGCAAAAACTTGGAAATAAATCGTCCATAAAGATAGAATAAAATGTATGTGATCACCGCGGCACTCACCAGGCCTTTGACTAGTCCGTAGCTTTCCAAGCCTTGCTTGACTTTCTTCCATTTGGACGTGATTTCCGCGTCACTTTTCTTTTGTACCGCGGCCTCTACGCTGTCCATCTGTCAAAAGCAGAGAATGTGCCATACCCATCAAAATGAAGCAGGTCGACCAAGCAAGAACAGCACACGACTTTTCGCTAAAGCAAAGCGTTGATGGTGTTGGCACTGCTGATAATTATGATACAGATCCCTAATGGTACCATGACTGTCGTCCATCGCATAACAAAAAAGAAGTTCCCCAATCTGGCTTTCAAGACACCTACAAACAGAAGGTCCCATTCCGTATCACTGCATAACTGCCCTCTATATCGTACGCGCATGCAAATTCAAATATGCCCTAGAACGTAGAACACCCTCGATCTAACAGGCAGCACGCGATGGCTCGAGTCTGCCGCTGTCCACTGGTCACCAGCAGCGCGTCCTCACCGCGTCCTGTGTGACCGAGGTGGCCTCCCGCACGTGCTGCGGCAGGTCCAGCAGCAGAGGGCCCTGCAGCGTGTCCACCGCTGGACTCGGCCTGCCCAGCTCCGCGAGAGACATCGCCTGCACGCCACACCGCCGGGAGTCGTCAGAGGGACGGACGGCAGAGATACAGGCGTCAAGCGGAGGGCACGGCCGACAGAATATTATACTGTGTCAAAGACGTGTACACGCGTCAATATTGCGGGCAAACCGACTCGGTCATTCATCTCAAATTGTGCTACCTTTTTTCCACTGAATTCCACGTAGATATCAAAACCTGAGCCCAATATAGTGTTTGAATGAAACTAGTATTTCAGAAGAATGTAGCTAGCAAGAGAAAAAAACGCCAATTCAGCGGTGGACGAGCCGGTCCTTGTTCCCAGAGACTCCTCAGTTCCCGCCTCCAGTGGCGTCTGCACCGCCCACCTCCCCTTTATCGACTCTCCCCGCCGAGTGCGGCCACCCACCAGCAAGTCTCGCGGTATGGCGCGGTCCGTGTCGGTACGCGGCTGTAGCATGGCCAGCGCCTCCTGCGGCTCACCGCGGCGCAGTGCCAGCGCGGCAGCCAGCGAGACAGCGCGCCGCGACACCACGTGACCGACAGCGTGCAGCCGCGCCAGCAACGAGCGGGAGTACTCGTACGAGGCCGCGCTGTTCTGAGGGATGGGGAGAGCAGAGTCAGCCAGGGTCCTGAGGGGTGGGGAGGGGAGAGAGTCAGCCGGTCAGCCAGTGTTCTGAGGGTAGGGGAGGGGAGAGCAGGGTCAGCCGGTGCTGATGGGAGTGGGACGGCGAGTCAGCGGTGAACGGACCGTGGGCACGGCAGACAGTAGTTCATTACTGTCACAGCCTTCTAAACAAGCCTTACCCACTGGTGAGCGGTGAGATTATCGATAGCATCAAACGCAATTTTTCATACTCGTATATCGCACTCTCAATCCATTATCAGCAACAAACTCAGCAAATTCATTGAACTTCAATGTTGAATCCACCCCACACTACAGCAGACGGTCCGAATCCGCCCCCCCCCCCCTCTCGTTACCATGCACTCACCATCTGATAGCAGGCGGCCAAGGTGAGCACGATGCAGTCGATGGGGTGTCGCGCGCCCTGCACCTGACGCTGCATCACCTGCTCCATTGTGTCCAGCACCTCCTGGTAGCGGCCCTGGCGGTACAGCAGGTCCTGCAGCAGCACAAAGCTCGACAGCTGGTCGAAAAAGCCCGTCAGCGCTGGGTCGTTAAAGGCCTGCAAAAAAAAAAAAAAACGAGAGAAAGGTGTGAGTTTTGGTCCAAAAGAGCACCTTGTCAACCATGATAATGCTTGGTTTTGATTTTATTTTATTGCTCAATGGGTAATTGAAATATTGTACCCATCAGTACATTTACCGAATGCCAATCGACAGACAGCCCAAGCGCTGTGAAAGTCGATGGATTACTCCAGTGGAGTAATAGTTCACAGAAGTCTTACAAACATTCATCAGTGATTTACTACCACACAGTTCAACATGCAGTCTTCTCAGAGAGATTGTGACCGTGTTTACCTGCAGTGCCCTGTCGGCCAGGCCCAGGTGCCAGTACATCCGCATCACCACTGGACCGAACACAAACTTGTTGAACCGCAGTCCGGATGACTCACTGTGATACCTGCAAGGTAGAAATATTGTTACCTACTCCATATAACTAAGTATAAACAGACAAATATGCACCTATGTTGACGACATATGATTTCTAATACCAGCCTTGCGTGAGTACATCACAAACATATATTGTGCTGTGGAAAATGAGTACTGGCAGTTGAAGGAATAATCGCAGTGGTATTGCATTTACACATCCTCATGCCAAGCAGAGCACCCACATTGTACAGTGTTGGTATGGCCAGAAACATCCTGGTAGCATAGTCACCTGGTGAGCATGCGCTGCAGCAGGCTCTGGTCTTGTTCATCTGCAATGGCCAGGTGCAGCATTTGGTTGAGGTCACCAGCAGTCACCAGAGCTTCACGACCCTCAGCAAAACCTGTCATACGACTGTAGAACTCCTCCTTGGAATTGGCCATTTGAAGGGCCAGCTTCTCCCTCTTCTGAACATAGGAGTCGACACCGAGTCGGGCAGAGCCATACAGGGTTCGGACTGCCAGGAGAGTGGAGTAGAAAATGGTCAAATGATGCCACCTGGCTCCAAATGGTGAGAAATTGAGCAAAGTAAAAAAGTGAAGTGATTTTGGCATGGGCATATGATGTCAATATTCGAGTTTGTAATTGCCTTGCATATGTACTTGTTACGGAGCGAGCGTAGTCTTTCCTCAGATTAACGGAAATTTCTGAGTATGAGCGGCCGGCCGGCCATGTGGACACTTTTGCGAGGCTTATATCTCAGCAACCACTTGACCGATTTACACGCGGTAATTTTTGTAGGGTAGCGTCATTCCTTCTACCAAGTATTGGACTATTCCCGATGCATTTGGGTGACCCCTTATGCACGTGCCACGTGCAAACGAAGAGGTGTCACTTTTGTAACAGTTGCAATATCTCGGTAACTACTGGACTGATTGCGCTGAAAGTTGGCATGTAAGTAGGCACCCACTATAGGCAATGCATATCCATGTGCCACAGTGGGGGTGTTGCTGCACGTGCAGGGGTCGATTCCAGATCTTGAGAACAGATGAACCGATTGCGCCAAGATTTGGCACATGGTTAGGGATCGGTTACTAGGGTGCGACACAAAAGTCAGTTGGGACCCATTCCGCACGTGCGCTCGTGCAGGGTGCCGCTTCAAGGGCCTCGGTTCATAATTACCTTGTATTGCATGTGAAGCGATGAAGAAAGCTTGAATAGTTGAATTTATTTATCTTGCAAGCAAGAACAGAAGGGAGAAGGCAGCCACAGCAATGAAAGCACACGGCACAAAATATTAACAAATTTTCATCCAATTAATGCACTCAAGTACTCTAAATCTCATGCAATAATGAATAAACCTTAACTGAAAAGGTAAGGTATACTTATCTAGGTACTCACCACACGTTGATAGACCCTTCCGGAAGGTAAAAATCCTCAGTGAACTTGATGCTACGGCTAACATGCTTTCTAAATTTAAAAATTATCCAGGAATAGCTTCGGAATGTAGAATAAGAGCAATGCAGAGCCCAAATCAACTGGAAAGAATTCGCAATGTGCACAGAGCACGCGCACACCGTGCGGGAAGAAAATGTCTGCGCCACATATCCAGCACATGCGCTTAAAAAAGTCACAGCAGCCAAAACATGTACGTCGCTAAACCACACTTCAAAACAAATTTCAAATAACTTTGGATTAAGTCAAAGGCGATGTAGAGAGCATTACCGTTCTAATTAGAAACAACTTTTGTTTAGCTAGTGTCTGATGTAGGTATTTCTTCTGGTGGGGGTCATCATTGTTTCTGAGACTCCTCACTGGCACCCCGCCCCGCCCCCCACATGCTAGAACCGAATCCACTTCTATACGGCCTTGCCCACTTCTGCTGGCAATGCCTTACATCCTGGAAGCATACTGCTTCGATTTACACCCTAGATTTACCACCAACATAACACGACCTTTCTTCTCAATGAAAGTCGCTGTTGTTGCTAACCTGTGCTAACCCACTCTGACCCAGATGAAAGTCTATCTCCACAAGCATTGACTAAGAAGTGTATATACAGGCATACCAGCCAATATATCACCTTTCTATGCTTCTATCCTCAGGATACTGAAATCCTTCTCCTCCACGCCGCAACCCCCCTCCGGACTGGACAGGCAACTTATCTCATGCGGGCTGCTCCCTTGGAGCGGCACCGCTGCTCCTGAGGGAGCGCACCCCGTAGCCGGGTACAGTGAGTGCCTTGGGGCTGGGTGGCCTGTCCTCTGGACGGGCTCAGCCCCGGTGACTCAGTAAGGTGCCTGCCCAGACCAATGTCTCCCCCTAAATCCTATCATCCTTCCGGCTCTGCAATGGTCTTGTCGACCGAAAGGGCCTAACCCAACAAAACAAACAAACAAACAAACAAACAAACCAATATATCGCCAATCGCCATAGCTATAATTAGGTGTCATTTCCCATTTTTAGTACCCAGTTAGTTAGGTTTGCTTCATATTCGCGGAGGTATCCAGACGTAAATACTAAACATTCGTATACCTACACTATACAGCCAGATCGTTGGTTCCTTTCCTTTCCACTTTCCAGACCATGATTATTTTGGGCATAGATTCTGATACCGGTCTTGAAACCGGCTGCTGAGCCAGGGTATTATCGACGACTTCGGATATCCTCGGATATCCTCAATAGCTAAGCGCCATCCGACGGCCCTCCCGTGTGTCCGACAAAGCCGTTCAAACCCTATCCAGCATTACCGTTACCGCTGACATGTACAATGATGCATGGTCTCAGAGTCGATGTTTTTCCCAGAGAATGCTCGCCGCGTCTCAGCTCGTTCCCAGTGATGCCCCACCCCACCAAACCCGACCGTCCTCTCCGTCCTCTCCAAACCCGACACCCCGACCGTCCTCTCCGCATCCGTCATCCACAGTTCACACAGTCGTTTGCGTCGGCCAACTCAGTGTATTTGCTCAGTGAAAGCTTAGTCCCTCATCTCACGCTTTTGCCTGGCCAGCTTCTTCTTGGACACCTTCTTCTTGGTGGGCTCGTCGTCGGTGACGCGCGACACCACGTCCTGCTTCTCAGTCAGGATGATCTGCCGGACGGAGCAGAGGTGTCAACGATCAGTCATCGAAGGCAACGGAAGCGCAGGGAAAGCAGGGTAACCATTCCGGTTCATCAGTTCGACGCCTTACGGCATGGATTCGTAAAGGAGGCTAGCCAAGGCAAGTATAAGAATGTACTCAAGTTAACGACATAGCTACATTGTAACTACGATAAGACAGGGAAATCTTGTTAACTTAAGATCTGAACCACAGATCAATGACCGGAGCAAAATCAAACCGACTCAGTGATAGCAAACAAGCGGCCACAACAAGCAATCCCCTTATCCCACCCCCTCGGACCGGCATCCCACCCTGTCTGCGCGGCGGCACGTTGCCGCTCTCGGCTCACCTCCACGTGGCACGGGCTGGCCATGTAGGGGTTGATGCGGCCGTGGGCGCGGTAGGTGCGCCGGCGCATCTTGGCCGCCCGGTTCACCTGGATGTGGTCTACCACCAGGTGGTCCACGTCCAGACCCTTGAAGTCGGCGTTGGCCTCGGCGTTACGCAGCAGCTGTAGCAGGTGCTCGCACGACTTCTTGGGCCAGCGGCCCTGCGTGGTGCCGAACGCCTTGGCCTGGACGGACGGAAAAGAGCCAGGTCAGGTCGAGGGGAAGCAAAACACTCCACGGAAGGGTTACATAATCATGCAGCTATCCAAATCGGCAGTAGAACAACCGGAGGACTCTTGCACCAAAATACTTAGCTAGGTAAAATCGGCAAGCTACTTTCGCTGTTAGCGAATAAATGGTATTTTTTGCACCACTTCATAATGTATACCTACAGGGCTTAGTAGAATATACAGAGAATTAATCAAGGGGGGTTTCTGGGGTGAGTGTACAACAGAATCTAGGAATTGGTGCAATAGGTTTTTGGCGCAAGCGGCCTCAGGGCTGCGGATTCAAAGTCGGTCAGGCAATCCTGCCCCACGTTGGAGTCGGACTAGTCGTAGTCAACACTACATGGGCCAGTCATGCCAAATACCCATCTCCTTGACAATACTACGCTCATTGACCTTCCCAAATCAGATTTTGTCGAAGCAAGGCCATCCTTCTATTTTGGACGAGCCTTTGCAGCGAAAAAAAAAATGCAGAAGACCGCGGCTGCACCAACCGAACATGCTTTTGGTTTGGCTGTTGTCCATGATATTAATCAGGGTTTTGGAGTCGGAGTCGGAGTCAGAGTCGCCCGGAGTCGTGGCAAGTAGCCAGGAGTCGGAGTCGGAGTCGGTCCAGCCGCCTCGACTCCGACTCCGGAAAGTTAACTGCAGTCAATCCGTGCTATCACTTTTCAGTTGTTTTTAACCAGTGGCCCCACGGCAAAATTCGCTTCCAGTGATCACAAATAAGGTATTATTTTACACATCTTGTTTTTGTCCTGAAAGCTAACATTGCCTCTTACAAATTTCAAGTTATGTCATAATTTAGTAGGCAAGCATTTTGTATTCGCGTTATAACTTCTACTATCCAGTGTCAAAGACTTAATGACAACTGTATATTTACCTTCTTCTTTTATCGCTCCGAAAAGTGCCTAACACAAACACAGACCGACATGATGGCGATGCCCGTGGTCATGATACGGCCACACTCGTGCTTCTCGGCGGGTTTTCAAGCTGGCCGCCGGCCGCTGGTCTCTAAGGATTCAGCTGCGTCCACGTGGGAGAAATGGTGACCGCATGAACGAAACCGGAGCGATCTCCCGGTGCGCGAACAGGGTGTCCGGAAAGTTCTGGCGCCTCTTTTGGACGTCGTTTAACGCGCGCTGTGATTATTGGACTTTCCACCAATCACCACAGGTACGACCCTTCGTTCACCGCTCAGCTAGGGGTCGTGTAACTATGACCTTGAAACCGTTTTCAGTGCTAGGTATATGGGCGAAGATGCGCCTTGTCGCTGAGAGCCCGCGCGCGGGGGCCCGGTGCGGCTTGAACGAGGCGCGAGTTGCAGCGCGATGCGGCGTTTCCCGGCGAACGGTTGAGCAGGCAAAGGTGCATTCCGGATCGGAAATTTCTTAGAAAATAGTTATTCTCACTTAGTTACGACCACGGTATGCCAAAGCTGCTGAGACTGAAGCAGCATTTCAGCGGCAATCGAAGAAAATCTGGGGTCTGATGGACACAAATGTTCCATCATCTTCATCAAGGTCAAATAAATGACTGACAGGCTGGTCCACGAGGGGTTCCTGGACACGACAATTAAGGCAACTTGCCCCAAGGGTCATTTCGCACTTCAACAGCACGGAGCGCCCTCCAACAACGCCGCTGCCGTCCAAACCAAACTGACAGAGGAGCTCGGCAGACCAGATCACCGTGGAGAAATGAGATTAGGCCACCTTATTATCCCAGCCTTAACCCACTCGACTAAGGCATGCTACGCGTTTTGCAGAATAAGCTCTAGGCAACTTCTCATCCCAGCCTGGAGTCGCTGAAGACTCGCATCATAACAGCATGGGAGGACAGGAAATGTCCTGCATCGTCAAAACCCGCAGGCGTTTCCGCCCTTGCGTCGAGGCCGTCGTCGGCACAGACGGTGTTTACAATGAATGGGTACTTAGCAGAAGCATGTGGCTAGTTGTTCCTGGTCATTGTTTTGTTCTATTGTTGAGTATCTATGGACCAAATGCATTTATTTTAAAAAATGTTTAAAGCACCAGGACTTTCCGGACACCCTGTAGACCTATCATGGCGCGTCATATCACGCGGAATTTTGGCAGCCACCATTGCCCATTGTATCAGACCCGGAGTCGGAGTCGGTCAGGAGCCCGGAGTCGGAGTCGGAGTCGGAAGAGCACTACCACGACGCCAAAACCCTGATATTAATATAGCATATTTGAAAGGTAAGGCCTAAGAATACTGACAAAACCATTTTAGACAAGATAAACATGCATTCAACATGAACTTTCCTATCATGATATGGGACTTAGATATCCGGAGTCAGAGTCAATTTTGGAAGCCAGATTCGTGGTCAACAAATAACCCATCGACTCCAAAGCTATGAACACACCCTTATCACCTTAATTTTCAACCCAGATGGGGCAAGATGGAGGGCGTTTTTGACCACACTTACCAGTTTTTAAGCGTGTGCAAAGAGAACCGCTGTGCGCCGCAAAACTTTGCATACTAGCTTATCATACATCACTTTTGTATCATGCAAGATTTCTGACCCCAGGTTACTTGAGGGCAGGTCACCAGGTCAAGTAAGGTGACCATGACTAAGAAAACTTTCTGTAATTCTGTGATTCTGTAATTCCTACAACACATCTAAAATTTTAAAACTTGGGGTGTTGCATGAGGGAATCAGTACCAGCAATTTGTGATGATCATGATGATTTGGAGTGACAGGGCACACCAGCAATGAGGTTATATCGCTACCAGCAGTCTGTATAGCTCTGAATTTTGATATCAGTGACCTAAGGGTGACAGGTCAATTTCTTGACCTCTTGGCTCTTTATTCTAAGTCAATGGGAGAAAAATGAAATGCTCTTCTTTTGGATGAAAGTCAGACTGAACAGTGAACACTCTCACTTCAAGAAACAGGTACACATTACACAATGAATCAGCAATTTACACCTATGACCCCTCTTTATGCCCCTGAGGTCATCTCAGGTCATAAAAGGTCTCTGCCCCTTAGGTCAACTTAGGTCATGAAAGGTCTCCATAAGTTATTCTTAATAACTTCACTTAGACAATAGACATGCTACAGCAATGAAAGAAATGCCTGACCAATGAGAGACTGATAAGT